TGTAATCACAACTCTATCCCCATACAACCAGCAGGCACACTGATGAGGAAAGAGACTACTCAAGTGCTGGAACCCCAGGCCCAAAACCAAAGCTGCTCTGGCAAGGGTGTCTCCTTTAAATAAGCCCAGCTCATCCACAAACTAGGTGAAAAATGCCAGCCTGAAGGCTGGGGTAAGGCTCGGTGGATAACGCGCTTAGCATGCGACCTGGAGTCACTCACTAACAATACGAAGGAGAAGAGAGAGTAAAACCAACCTCATGGAGCTAGAAAAGGAGTAACAGATAATGCTTGAAATGAAAATAACCAATAGACTACAGAATCTCATAAAACGCCAGCTAATACCAAAGTGACTGGATTCAAAGAATTCTTCTACATTTGAGTCCTAAGTTCTAGGGTTCAGCACAATTCACAACATTGTCCACAGAAAGCAAAGGCAACAGAGATCATCTCTAAGGCAGAATTAAAGAGAAATCAAGAGCAAAATCAAAAGTGGCAGATCTGAGAGGCCTTGGGTCCAGTAGTAAGCTATGAGTGGGAAATGGAATTCAATAGAACAGAACTATGTAGCTAGCTTGGCTGAACACTTAAACCAGTCTTTCGCCACTACTCACACAATCCCTTGCCAGTGACTGGGGCCAGAGAGATGGCTCAGTGGCTACGAGCACTGGCTGTCAGAGGACCTGGGTTTTGTTCCCAAGATCAACATGGTGGCTCATGATCATCTGTAACTCCAGTTTCAGAGGATAAGAAGTCTCCTTCTGGCCTTTGAAGGCACCAAACACACTGTGGTATACAGATATACATTCAGACAATACACATAAATATAAATAAATCTGAACACGCACATACACCCTCTTGCCAGTAACCATGGGTGGTTTTGTCTGTTTATGTTTTTCTTCAGATGGCTTCATTTTCACTCTGCAGGCCAGGCTGGCCTCACACTTGTGGCTGGGAGTTAATAACTATATTTAAATGTTTCTTATTAAGACTGGTAAATACAGGTAAGTATTCTACTTTTAGTTACAAAGACAGTAAGTGAAAGGTATGTCAGCTAAAAGCATCTTGGTGACCCACTCCTGTGTTACCTGCAGTAGAGAGCCTCAGGCAAAAGGATCATGAGTTCAAGGCCAACAGTCTTGAAGAGGGGGGGGAGCAACGAGCTTTTTATTAGAAAATAAAGCAAAAAGCACAGACTTCTCACTGGTCATCTTTTCATACCTAACCATGGAGGTTTTGTTTTTTACCTTGGTTTGTTAAAATAAAATTAATGGTGAATGGCTAGTAACAATTTTTAAAAAGCCTTATTTATTTACTGGAATAATTATATTTATATTATATATATACTATATTATTATATATTATATTAAATAAATTATATTTACTGGAATAATCTTGTCCTATATAGTGCATTAAGTTGTTGGTTTCTTAGAACTGACCATCTTCCGCTACTTTTCCTTACATGTTTACATGCCGATCATAAACTGTGCATCACCCTGCCTGTAACACAGTAAGCAATCCATGAAAAGTAGCCATTGTACTACCAGTCCAATGATGGAATGAACTGTCTTCTCTTGTCTATCTCAAGAACTCAGTCACTACTTGGTGGTATGCAATAGATATTGAAGTGTAAATGGCTACAGATGATCTAGAAGTAATTCTCAATTCTCACGTCCAATGTATGGTGCCAAGTCAGCCCAGCAAGGGGGCTGGAAAGACCCCCTTCCCCAGAGGGAAGGGGCTGAAGTTCCTGTTTGTATTTCCTTAAATTCCCCACAGAGATTGTCCCCTGTGTCCCAAACCACAAAATCAATGCTTTGCAACAATGTGGTCTGAAGCAATTTTGCTTCATTTCCCTCTACAGACAATGAACCAAGTTCCTTAAAACTTGAAGACTTGGTTTAGTTCCCTTTTACTCTTTTTAAAAGAAAGATATCTGTATAGCCGTATCAACTCTCAAATTTCTAGTCTGACTGCCATGATCTTTGACTCACAGTTGGTTACTACACAGCTTGTACTTGGTTTGTTTTGTTTTTGTTGTTCACTACATAGTGCAAATTAAAATAAAAATAGGCATGAACGTAAAAAAATAGTTACACATCAAAGTGCACCATGTCCCATTCAAAGATTCCTTTTTTCAGTTTAATAAGTCATACAAAAAATGCTGTGACATTATAGGTCTACCCCCACCAACACAAGACATTGTTACTAACTGCACTGCCTTCTCTCTTCTCAAAGTTACAGTTTAAATCCCCCTCAATTACTTGCATTCAAATGGACTTCCTTATTTTCCAATACCAAACTGTCTCAGAGGATGAGATGGAGAAAAGGAACACAAGGCCCAAAGTGAGTTAAAAAAGAAATTCAAGAAGCTAGGCGCAGTGGCACACATCTTTAATCCCAGCACTCATGAAACAGAAGCAAGCAGATCTCTGTGACCCCAATGCCAGCCTCTTTACAGAGTGAGTTCCAGACAGTCAGAGACACACAGAGAAACCCTGTCTTGAAAAAGTAAAAAGAAAAATTCAAAAAGGTGTTTTCAGTTGCACTTAAAAAGCTGCTAACAGAAATCATAACTCTGGCTCTTGAGAAGGACCTGGATTTAATTCCCAGCACCCACTGAGCTGCTCATAACTATCTGTAACCCCAGTTCCGGGGACCAGTAGCACCAGGCATTCATGTGCACATATATGTGCATGCAAGCAAAATATTCATACACATAAAAAATTTTTAAAAATCTTAACCCCCCCCCCCGCAACTTCAAATAACTTGAAAATGACATTTGCTCCATCGATAGGTTATAGGTCACATCTTAACTCTGTAGAAACTGCCTCTCTGAAAAGACATGCAAGTAACTGAATAGTGGTTGTCACTGAAGGAAGAGAAATTAGGGCTGGGAACTGCGGCATACCTTTCTCAACTTTATACATAATGAATTGCTTTGTGTTGCTGGGGATGGAATGCAGGGCCTCCCATAGGCAAGGCCAGGGCTGTACCAAGAGTTACATCACTGGTCCCGCATCAACTACTTTTAAGAAGCTGTTAGCTACAAGTCTTTCAAATTGTGAGGCTGTGCTCAATTCTGTTTCATAGAAAAGAACAGCACTGGAGGAAGTGGCGAGGGCTTTAATGGCACTTCACTACTGAACATCATTGCAAACCTGCTCTTCTGCCAGGGCAGCAGTGTCCATAGGAAACCCTGCAAGTTCACCCACCCAGATGGTCTACAGTGAGCTATTCTGTTGCAGCACTCCCTGAGCATCAAATGGAAACAAAAGCCTGATACTGTAACAATTAGGAATGAAAAATAAAGGTATGCTAATGAGCTATTAAATATTAGAAAATATAACAATCCAATCCCAAATACACATGAGAAATGTGTATTACTGCCATTTTATTAAAATGTAAACTGCCACACTGTAAACAGGGAGAAAGACGTCAAGGTTGGTACCATCTGCAACATAACTTATGCAGCTTGCACCAGCAAACGTAATATGATCTGTTGCCGGACACGATTGCACAATCTCAATTACCCAGAAGATTCTACCAAACAGGAAATTCATGGTGTGACTTTAAGTAACACAGGACTCATGCTTAGAGATTAACACATCCAGAAGCTTGGAATTTGTTCCAAAGCAAAACAAACCAATTCCCCAGACTCTTTGGAAAGCAGGAATGCAGATGAATTACTGCAAGACAGAAGGAGCTCATCTGCTGACTCCAATAATACTTTCAGATCGGGAGTTCTAATCTGATACCAAGTCTAAAAGATAGTGTAGGAATACTTGAAAGTTCCTAAGACATTTCTGGAGTGGAAATTTTATGGTATGGATTTAATTTTAAACCCATTCCCAGAGCCTTGCAGGGTGGTAAAAGACTTTATGCTCAGTGCCTGCAGAGGAGATCTCTGAGTTCCAGGCCCAGTGAGGTTCAAAACAGCCAGGGAGATACTTAGTTTCAAACGAACAACAAAATATCAAAAATCACGGTATGGCTTAAAACTGAAAAACATAGTTTCCTTTACTATACATGTTCCAGGTTCTCACGAAACCCACAAGTACTTCGATCCTTAAAAGCTGATAAAGCTCCCCTGCAAATCTTCGAAGGGGCTTAAAAAAAGACAAGCATCCCCAGGACTTGTTTCAATTAGAAACCATTTTACACCTCTGAGCCCTAGTCCTACTTTTCTGATCCTGAGAAAGCCCAACAGGTCAGAATCCCTCTGGCTCCGCACTGAAAAACTGTTTTGTCAAACAATACTGAAATGAGCAGTGGTATGTGACTAAGCGGCGAGCTGTAGCGTCCTTGCAGGCGCTGCCACCCTCCCTCCCCCGAAAAGGAAATAAAGCTTTCGACCGAATCGGAAACACACCACGCAAGCTGGCACCGCGCTCCCCGAGATAAAGTCGGTATTTTAAGCTCTTCGGGGTGCTGTTAATTCATGTGCGAATTCCAAAAGAACGGTTCGTAAACCAGGACTTTTCTATGGAGGATTGTAAAAGAAAAAAAAAAATAAGAAAAAAAATTCCGGGAAAGGAGCGCGTTTTCTTGCAAGTTTCGTTCAGGTGACCGCAGTCCCCGGGTCAGGCTTTGCCCTACCTCTCCCCGCAGAAGCTCCGCCCGGCTCGTCTGCTCTCCGGGGCAGGGCTCCAGCGTCCCAAGTGGCCGCACCCGGGGCCAGGGTCCTTCGGCTGCTCGGCTGCAGAGGGACCCCGAGAGGAACAATCTTCTAAGCAGAGAGACAGCACTGGGTGGAGCATCATTGCAGGGCGCCCACCGCGGACCCGCTCCTGCACATGGCTCCCCACCTACCTGCGTGTGCAGGGTGAGGGGTGCAGGACACGCACCGCTCGGAATGCCCCCTGCACCCCCACACACGCCCGGAGAATTCCTGCCGCTGGGCGCATCGCTGAGCTGTGGGGACAGGCCTGGCCCTCAGGCATGCAGGGCCACCCTGCTTGCTCCAATGCGTCCCTCCACCCGAGGCCCGGCGACACTCACCAAACCGAGCCATAGGCGCCCGAGCCCACCGGGGACAGGTTCTGGTATCGCTCGGGCACCTCCCAGATGGTCTTGTTCAGCTCCTGCCGGTAGAACGTGGGCCTCTCCTGAGACATCTTCCAGGGGCGGCCGCGGGGCGAGGAGGTGGCCGAGCGGGGGGCCCCTGCCTGCAGCCG